CCCCCCCCCCCCCCCCCCCCTCCTCCTCCTCCTCCTAACTTCCTTCTTCTCCCCTTCCTGCTGTTCCTCCTCTTCGTTTTATCTTCCGCCTCTTTTCTTGCGCCCTTTTTCGTCCTCCTTTCTTCCTTCTTTTTCTCCTCCTGCTCCCTTCTTCTTCCTCCTCCTCCTCCTCCCCCCGTTCTTCCCCCCTCCTCCTCTATCTTCCTCCTCCTCCTCCATCTTCTTCCTCCTCATCATCACTCACCCTATCACCCTCCGTCGCAATTCACCCTGTCTCGCCACGTGCCCGTCCCCCTCCCCCCCCCCCTCCTCCCGTCGATTCAATCACAGTTGCAAGCTGCGGGTTTGTGCTAATCACGTGGCCGCTGTGATTGAATCGACCACGTGGGGGGGGGGGCGGTCACGTGGCCGCGACGAGCGTTCACTTGATTAGCACAAACCCGCAGTCGCAAGCTTGCGAACCAAAAAAGAAAAAAAGAAAAAAAACTAGAAAAAATAGCGATGAAGAAAGGAGAAGGAAGAAAGAAGGAGGAAGACGAAGAGGAGAAGAAGAAAGAAAGAGGTAGGTTCATCCTCTTTCTTATTCCTCCTCCTCCGCCTCCCCTTTTTCTCCGTCCTCCTCCTCCTCCTTTTTCCCCTTCCTCTTCGTCATCCCTCACCCTATCGCCCTCCCTCGGCGGCAGTGGCTTCGTCTCGCCACGTGGCCGTCCCCTCCTCCTCCCCTCCCATCTTTCAACGGTAGCGGTCATAGCCACCTCTCTCGTCCTTCCTCCTCCTCCTCCTCTTAATCCTCTTCCTCATCCTCCTCCTCCTTTTCTTCCTCCTCCTCCTCCTCCTCCTCCTCCTCCTCCTCCTCCTCCTTTCTGTTCGTTCTCATCATCAGTCACCCCATCACCTTTCTCTTCCTCCTCCTCCTCCTCCTCCTCTTTTCTTCTTCGTTTTCGATAGTCCACATCAGAGACTCCTTTCTTCTTCCTCCTATCCTCCTTTCTTCCTCACGACGTCGCCACATCACCAACTCCTTTCTTCCTCCCGTCGCCACGTCACACCCCAAGACGGAGGAGGAGGAGGAAGAGGAGGAAAAAGGAGGAGCAGGGGGAGAAAAGAAGCACGAAAGAACAAGGAGAGGGCGAAGACGTCTAAAGAAGGACGAGGAGGAGGAGGAGGAGGAGGAGGAGGAGACGATCCAGGAAGGAGGACGGCGTGCGAGGTGTAGGAGGACCACTCATCACTTTTTTTTGCGTTTTTTTTTTGGGGGTGCGGACTGTTGTTCAGTGTTCACACACCTTATATACTTCAAATCAGAATAAAAAGACGTTTTCGGCGGGGTGTTTGACATACTAAAACACCCCCTCTTTTTTGGTTCTTTTTTGTTTCTCTTCTCCCCCCCCTTCCCCTTTCTTCCAACTATCAATCAATCAGTCAATCAATCAGTCAATCAATCAGTCAATCAATCACGCAAGCGCACGTGCACACACACACACACACACACACACACACACACACAAACACAGAGTCAGCTTTCCTTGCGGAGTCTCGTATAGCGAATATGAAAACACACACACGCGCCCGCGCGCGCGCACACACACAAGCGAGCCCACGTACGGAAGCCCGATGGATACAATGTACGTGGGCTCGCTTGTGTGTGTGTGCGGGAAGGTGATCGGGGATGGAGACAACGTACGTGGGCTCGCAAGGTTGATCGGGGGGGTGACGAGGGGTGGAGGAAAAGGTCGAAGTTGGGATCCCGAACAGGTG